CTATAGACAACGCATTCAACAACAGACAAGACCCCACCCCAGATGGTGACAACAAAATTCCTATGGGTGGGGTGACATGAATTCCAAACTGGAAGCAGACAACACAGGAGCAGAACTCATCATGCGTTGAGAGGTACTCACCGAAATAATGAATAGAAATTGAGAACTATTTGCAGATTTCTGGGCATTCAACTATTTGGTGATTGGAGGCACTGTGTACAAACACCAGGATATTTACAGAGTGACGTGGATTTCACTTCACCAGATGTACGCACTACACTAAAATTCAGATCAAATTCATCTCAATGGGAAGAACGTGGAGACGCATCCTACTGGACACAAGATCAGATCAGGAAGAGGAGCAGATGTAGGTTCATACCACTCATTATCCAGTCCAAGGAACTTTAGAAATAAAGTTGAAAGCCTTCACAGAAGTTGGTGATACACCACAGTTCAAGTTCAACAACCAGAACAGAAACGGAACTGAAGTACAAAACTACAGAAGACATCTTCACATCAGCCATCAGGACAAAATAGGAGACACTAGTCAAGATCTCCGAGGAAACCTGAGTGGAATAACACTGGAACTCTTTGGAAGCGACGTGGAAGGAAACCTGCATAACCGTGTTAAGAAGGAAGAAGAAGCAAGGCCAGACAAGACAAGGAATGGATCTCAACGGACACATGGAAGCTGATAGAGGAGAGGAGGATGATGAAGCAGAAGACGAACCAGTGCAGTGCAGTGCAAGGATGAACAACGGAAAGAGGAACTTAGCACAACCTTTAAAACACTACACTGGACAATGAAGTGAAGAAGAGCACGAACAGAGACAAAAGACACTTCTATGACACACAGTCAAGTGAAGCAGAACGGGCTGCAGGTAAGAGAGACCTGACAACATTGTATCAAATAACCAGGTTGCTATCTGGAAAGAGATCAACGCAGACGAAGCCAATAAAAGATGATGAAGGAAATCTGGTTACCAAAGAAGAGAAACAAAGGAAACGATGGGCTGACCACTTTAAAAAACTCTTGAATCGACCACCACCTGCAACTCGTCCGGAAATGCCACTAGGAGCCTCGCCACAGAACTATTGGTGAACACAAACTATCCGACAAAATCCCAAGTCCTGAACTCCGTAAAGTTACTGAAAAGCGGGAAAGCGGCAGGACCAGGTGGAATTCCTCCAGAAGCACTAAAAACAGACTCAGAGACATCATCAACGGACATACTCACACCACTGTTGCAGAAGGTTTAGGAGGGAGGAAGGAAAGGTACCTGACGAACAGTTGGAAGAAGGGCTACCTTGTCAAACTTCCAAAGAAGGATGACCTAAGTCTTTGCAAGAACTGGTGCAGAAGCATGCTCCACTCCAGTCCACCCAAAGCAAAATATTAAGTCACATCATCCTGGAGAGACTAAAAGATGACCTGTATTTAAAATTACGACCGGAACAGGCTTTATTTAGGAAGAACAAATCATGTGCGAACCGAATTGCGACGCTATGCATCATCATAGAACAGAGCATAGAATGGCAGTCAACTCTCTACCTCAACTTCATCGAATCAGAAAAGGATTTTGACAGCGTCGACCGAGAAGTAATCTGGCAGTTGCTTCAACACTACGGTTTTGGTGCCACAAACCCTTATCAACATCATCCAACAACTATATGAAATCGCTACATGCCAAGTAATTCGTAATGGAAAGCTCAGTGATGCCTTTGAGGAGAAGACAGGAGTAAGACAAGACTGCCTCTTATCACCGGTGATCTTTCTGATTGTGGTCGACTGCACTGGATCATGCAACAAACCGTGAGGAGCGAGAAGACGGGGAGGGGGATACGCCGTCTGACCGATGAGAAGACCCTAGGATATTTGGATTTCGCCGAAGATGACTTATGTCTAATGTCACACAAACTCGAAGATCTACAGGCGAAAACTAACAGGTTGACAGAAGTGGCAGGGCAGGGCAGGCAGCGCAGCGAAGACGGGACTTTAAGTGAACGCAGAGAAGACGGAGGTGATTAAGATACCCAACCAACAACAAGAACAATTATCAATCACTATGAACGGGAGAAACCTAAAGGAAGCTGTCTCTTTCACCTACCTAGGCAGGGCAGCATTGTCTCAACTGCAGGTGGCACTGGCACAGATGAGGACGTCAAGGCCAGGATCGGAAAGGCAAGACAGACCTTCACTAATCTGAAATCAGTATGGAGATCTACTGCACTCAGCATAAAGCGTGAACAAGATCCGGATTCTCAACATTAGTGCCGAGACAGTGCTTCCATGTGACGGTTGAGAGACTTGGCGTGTCACGAAAAGCATTTTCAACAAACTACAGACACACACCAGCAGCTACCCCCTACACTTGTTGCTGAAGATCAGATGGCCAGAAGGAATAAGCACCTAGGAACTCTGGCTGGCAGCGAACCAACGAAGCGAGGACCCACCACCCAACAAATATGCAGGAGAAAGTGGGGATGGGCGGGATTGAGCACACTTTAAGAGGACCATTCAGGGACATCACGTGCCAGGCCCTTGAGTGGGATCCAAACGGGAAACGACGAGTTGGACGTCCGAGGGTGACATGGAGGAGATCATGTAAGGAAGAAATGAGGGCTTGTGGGTAATCGTGGAGCCGTGTTGGATAGACTGCATAGAACAGAGTGAAATGGGGGCGTGCTACTGAAGCCCTGTGTTCAACTAGGAACCCAAGGGACAAGTGAAGATGTAACTTTAACTCCTGAAGATATGACAATTAGAGATTTATACTTTGTACTCATAACAAAACAAATAGTCGCGATGACACTAAATACCTTTCATTTAATATGATTTGGTAGTTGTAGGAACCGGAAAAACATCATATAACGTAAAGTGTGACATACAGTTTACTAATTGAAGTTTGTAAAGGTCACAGATCTAAGTATAAGGCGTGGTAAACTGTAGGCGACAAGCAAGCTGAAAAGAACTGTACACCCTTACATTTTCATTCAAGTGCTGAAAGCTTATAAAATTTCGAGGTTTATATGAAATATACTATTATGCAATGATATTTTGAAAGTTGAATGAATGATAGTAGGCGGTTTCAATTTATACATATATTTCTTTAACAAAACAATACCTGAACTAACTAGATTCGCTTAGAAAGATCAGTACGTAGCGTAATGAAACAGTCATATGCAATTATACTTCACCATTTCAAGAAACAGGTAGTTGAACACGTCATCGTATCTGTCCATGACGGTGAATCGACTCATGAAAAGTAAAAGAGATCTAAAACGCAACCATCTGATGCCAAGGGGAAAGGAAAATCATAATTAAAAGGCATTCGGTGATTATCGCAAGAAATGCAGTGGACTTAAGTATCAAGGGTAGTTACTGAGCTGGAAACCAAGTTTACATAATCCACAAGGAACTTAACAAATGAGTACATCATTAGGTATCTGAAAACGGAATATGAATGCAAATTTATCAATTAGAGGAACTTCATAATTACGATGGATAGTGGCTAGCAGCGGAATCCAGGATGTGTTTCTCCCTGTGTGGCACTCATCAGCTGGATGTAACCGCCTCCAAGTAAGCGATGTTCCCACTAAGACTGGAACCCGGGAGCGATGACTTCAGACGCCACAGCGTTAACCACCGAACCACCGATACCCACTTCTTGTAAATCAGTTATAGTTTAAATTTTGTTACTTGTATTATCCTGTTGTAGATTGGATCGAATTCAGGTAACGACACTAGAGGAATTTTAGCCTACATATTTTACCTGTAACACTCGGTTTCCCTAAATTCAGTGACACCAGATGTTGGGCTTACAATTTATCATTCAAGGACTTGCTACATCACCAAGTAATTTTGCCAGTAAAAGATTTAAGGTCGAATCTAGATATGGACATATACAAACCAATTTAAAAGACCAATACAGAATATCCGGATTTTGCAGCCACTTCTGCACAGAAGTTATAATTCTATCTATACGCAATGTCTTATAGTTATGTGGTGGAACCTTTCTGTTATACTTTCAGCAAAACTGAAAGTTATACAGAGTCCGATATGTTTTCTGAATCTCTTTATTCATCCAAAAATTTGATACTATGAAAAATGGTACAAGTACTGGGAACCTATGGACTTCATAGCTCTAGTAATGTTCCGGAATTAACAGATAATTTTCTAAAGTCCGTATCCTTTATGTTATTTTACTAAAACGCAAACAAGGAAGAGCATAGTCGTCAAAAGACAAAACATTATGAAAACACAGGAGGTGGAAGAGAGGACGGAGACAAAAACGGAAGTCGGTTATCCAAGAATTAATCTCAAGGATACATTCAAAAACTATTTAACACTTTCGTTTTACTTTTCACTATTAGGAGCAGCAAGATTGCTCTTAATTTTGATTCTGAGGTATGTCTGATGTCTTCTCAAGCCACTTACTTATATGATCTCTCGAACCGCATCTAGGGAGTCGTGACACCTATGAATGCCAACTCAGCATAAATACCTCCTGTTCCAAGGTACAACATCGTACAGTGATCAGTTTTCTACCTTCTACCTTAAATCAGGGCCGTATCTATGGTGCTTCCCATGGATGATAGTGATCCTGATAAGAAGACAGTAATCAAAAATGTAGCGTCACTGAACATCCTCAGATCTGAGTGCTCAAGTATCACAGGTGTAGAGAAGTACAGTCCTCACCAACACCTTCTGTACACGACTTTTCGCAGCAAGCTTAACAAGACGCTAGCACCAAAGGTGGTCCAGATTAGTACATAATGCTTTGTCTTTCGACATAAGACTGAAAATCTTATCAGTAACACCTCTACCAGTACTCATGCAGTTTCTCAGACGCCAAAATTTTCTGACAATTCACCATCGATAATAAGTTCAGATGCGAAATTTCGATAATATTATAAAAGCAACTTTTCCTCTGAAAGAGCAAACCACACTATCGCACTTGAAGACACCGATAAAATATTCATTCACACAAATGCCTTCAATCAAGTTAAAAAGATTCCCGATCCATGATAAATTTTCAACAAATTTATGTACAAAGGTAGTCTCTTAGCCTAAAAATTTAAATGCAAATAATATCAAATCTTTCTAGAAGACGAAATAATGTTAAATGTTCAAAATTATAGAAATTGTGTGTTTATTCACATGTCAATACCAAATTTATCAAAATTTCTCAATATCACATTCAAATCTATAGTCAGATATCCCATACTCTCTGTTTGAAGAAGGAATCTGTCAGTGGGGTCGTAAACTATATCCGGTCTTCGAAGATGTGGACCACCTCCAACTAGTCTTGACACCAGAGTATCTAAAACAGAACCAACAGGTCTCCACGTAGGAACCACAACCTATTGGGAAATATATTTTTGAAAAAACAGGAAGAACCTGATGATTCCCAGGAGATGTTGGGATATGACAAAAACCATACCCATATAGCTCGTTCTTTCCAACCCAGTCATGATGCCACACTTGAAAGTGGAGTTTTGGCCAACCTATTATTTAAAAGACTGGTTGCAAATTCAAACCTTGAAGGCCTTTTGTTGCAAAATGCAGGTCTATCGGATGACAAAAATATGCCTTTTCACCCACTAACGGACAATCAACTTGTGTTTCTCCTTCAGCAATTCCTTCAATCAACCTCCATGCGATACCTTTTAGATTAAGAATTATCACACATCCCTACCAGACTTAATGCCCCATTTGCAAAACAAATCTTTTTCTGGATAACCATGTGCATATAAAATCTGTCCAAAACAATGCAATTCTGCCATTTCAATGAACAACTTAGCAGTTTAGTTAGAAGTCATGACAACGGACTCCAGTGTTAGTACAGTAAAACTAATCGTACAACTTACTTGTAATTACTGATGCCAAATACTCGTTTCGCATGTTCATATGAACTAGTTTGCGTTGGCTTGTTCGTCACTGCCTAAAAGAATATCCAACAACATCCAGCACCAGAAGTGTGAGTAGAGGAAACTTGTAGCGTCACACACTTCCCCAAAATCAATAGCCTAGGGTTCGACGACAATCAACATTGATGCTGACTTTGAGAGTTTAGCTGGACTTGCTAAGCTGAAGGCACCCGGTCAAGCATCCTCGCCATTTGGCACGCTGTCGTGTTACGTTGCACTGCTCGTATTCAACTCTCTAGCCAGTTAGTTGGAACGCATCGGTATCTTGGCGCAACCATACAAATGTACTATTCTATCCGACTACGCTATCGTGTTTTTCCTTGATCTCTTGCTCGTGGGTATATAGCAAGCCCGAATAATTAGTGATTGGTCTTCGCGTCTGTCAAGTTCGCACCAGGATAACTCCTAAAGGCTCTCGTTTCTAGATCTTGATGCTCGGATCTTTTTGTTTGTCTGTACTCCTTCGGTGGTGGCGGAAGTTTTTATGTTTTTCCTGCTTATAGCTTTGGGGGTGATGACTGTTTATTTGAAGGTGGTTCGCTTACAAATTGTGGCTTGGTCTGTTTGGGGCGGCGGAGTTGTTGATAAGGTCAATTAACCTTCTACAATTCCTGTTTTTGTAAGCAATCGCAAACAAGTACTAGGCGTTGCTTAAAAAGTGTCGGAAGTAGGATGAGTGGGGAGTGAGAAAAGGAGGAGTGAAAAGTGCTTGCGGGTAGATAAGTCTTACTGGTAATGGAGAAGAGATGTATCTTATTACAGATACTATGGTTGGGGAATGCAGCGATTGAGGAGCATGTCATCAGTTGCTACTGACGTTTGTGCTCATGTACTCATCCAGTAGTCGTTTCGGGGAGTCGACTGATACAGCCGTGGCTACCTCTTTCGGTAGAAGGCTCCATAAGACACATATTCCCTGGGAGAAGAATTTAGATTTCACTCTCTTCTTGCCCTATGGTGGGGTATGTAAGTAAGGTTCCAACGGGACAGCCGGTTTCGGACCAGGAGCGCTGACCTACTTGGGTAGTCCACTTGGCGAATGCTCCTGTAGGCTCTTATCGGGTCACCTCGTTTCCTTCTATAGCTTATTGGGAATAAGTTGTCTGAGGCGTTGCGCATATGCTTGGCCTGTTATCCAGACAACCGAACTTGTCGCTCCTCCCTGTACCTTCTAGAAGGTGTTCGTGCCTCTCTTTAGCACTGAGAGGCTATCGCTTTGCGTACTTCTAGGTGAGGCCTAACATAGGTTTTGAATACCGTAGGGAATAATTCTGGGGTTAGCGCCACAAGCTGCCTTAGAAAGTGCATGGTGGCAATCTCCTCTGCTGCCACTCCCTAGTGGTTGCCAGGGGTATTCGCCGTGTCGGAAAAGTAAAGTCGTAGGTCCTCGCTGTGGATACCTTGATGACCGCACACTTGTTGAAGGTGCAGCTGGCTTTGATTGCTCCTGGTGTACGAGGATACATCGCCCTGCATTTCTCTAGGTTAAAGCTAAAACTGTTTGCGGCTGACCAGGACTCCAGCCGCAACGGGTCGTTGCGGAGTACCCCAAGATCCCCCTCCTCACTTGTTGTCCCCCATATTTTGGCGTCGTCAGCAAATGGGAGGACTGGCAAGATCGTAATGAAAGGGTCATTCTTGAATAGGAAAAATAGCGGTCCAATGAGAAACTCCTGTTCTTACACTCCTCAGGGTTGATCGAATTCTCTCTATCTTAGTTGGGAATGCTCTGTCCTCTAGATATACTTTAAAGCATGCTATGAGTGGTTCGGTGATACCCACTTTTGCAAGTTCTGCGGGTGTGTCACAGTGTGGGGCGCTTTGAAACGCTTCGACCAAGTTCAGGGAGATGACGTGGAGTGGTTGCTTCCTGTCCTATCTTGTGGTCCAGTCATCCCAGATGGTCATTAAGTTTGTGGTGCATGACCTTCCGGTTCTGAAGCCATGTTGGGTTGGATGAACCACACTGTTTTCTTTCAGGGAGTCCCAACAACAACTTCTGCATCCAGGCTTGCCAGCACCTCAAAAAGTGTGGGAAGTAGTGCTGTTGGTCCGTAGTTGCACGGGTTTTTTTCAGTCTCTTCCCTCGAAGACAGGTGAAGGGATAGCACGTTTCCATTTTTTGGGGAGTTTGGTTGCTTCCAACGATTGCGTGACACGGGCTGCATATTGGCACGCTTACCACTTTACCACGGTTCAGTGGGGCCACCGATTTTATATCGTCACATTCCGGCGATTCCCATATCCTCAGTGCTGAAGGTTTCACAAACAGTCGGCTTGGCGAAATCTTTGCTTTCGTTAGCTCTGGAACTGCGTCACACTACTAGATGTTGACAATGGACGCATTACTAGGCTGGGTTGCTCGCCAAACCGGCTGCTCAACAGTCCTGCTATGTCGCTGCTGCTCGAAGGTTCTCCGGCCAGCTCTGTGATCAGGTTTAAACCCTACTCGTTATGATATAAGCCTATGTAGGCTTTTCAGGTTGTAACTTAACTGTTTAGCAAGGTGATCCTGGTATCTGTACCTGTCACTACGAGCTCTTATGTTATACAAGTCGCTTAACGCCTTGTGTCTAAGACAGTCTGATTCCTTGCCGGATGTGCGCCACCGGTTTTCTACCTTCTTTTTTATCTGTATTTGCCTTCGGGTTGCACGAGTAGCCGAAGGCCACTCGAGAGGCGGTCGTCTGGTCGATTTTGGAACACGCTTTCCTGTAGCGCTCCAGATAATATCTTTAATATGCATCCAGTGTTCCTCCATCAATAGTGAGTGCCATTCTTGCGGCCATGCAGCCTCCAGGAGTTCGCCTTTCATAAAGTGTTAGTCTACTTAGCGATAACAGCGGGTGCGTGTAAACCACCTTTAATAGGTACTTAGTTTGGTTTTTGTTAAAGTAGCGCCACAAAGAGTCTGGTGATTGGCTAAACATGCGACAGTCGCCTCATTAACTCCTAGGTGCGTGCGAATGTACATAGTAACTCCTCCGCCTCCTTTGAACTCCCCGTCCTTTCGGAACAAGGTCATGTCAGGGAAAGATAGTTCCTCATCCACGATGCCTGATGAGAGCCTTGTCTTTGTGACAAGAATTATACCTGATTGCATATTATGGCACATTGTTCTTAGCTCCAGTAGTTTACTCCAAGGACCTCTTACAGTGCTGTTGAAACATGTCAAGAAGCTATGTTCTGGTCCTAGTACAACATGGGGACTTGTTTGGGGGCTAGTGTGCTATTGCTTGGGGTTCTGGCTGCCAGTCTATACTGATAGATCACTGGATACTTCTCTTGTGACTAGTACCGTTGGTAATATTTTGGAGGTCGCTTCCTGTCTTCCAGTCTGGCAGACTATGGTTTATTTTCCCAGCACCTCCTGTTTGATCTTACACACGGTACCATACTGCGAGAGCTTCCGTGGGCGGTTTCATGGAGTCAAAGCGTGCAGCTACCAATCTTGGTGAGGAGGTGCTGCGCAAGTGCTTGGGTTGTGGTTACCCACCAACGCTGCTGGCAGGTAAATTTTCAAGTCCCATTTTCGTCGCTGGCCACCTCCACTGATCGACATCATGAAGATTATCATCACACTTCGTGTATTCCGTGCACCGTGGTTACAGCATGGTGGATATCATCATTTTCGGCTTCAGACTAATTTTCCTTACTGACGTGAGCACCTTCACCTTCTTCCACCCAAGCTTACCTCAAAACAGTTTGCTTTGGATGCTTCTTCAAGCAGGTTTTGTAGTCAGTACAAAAACTCACCCAAATGTATCTTGGTTGATCTACTCCTGCGTACTTTTATGCTCCTGTTTCGAGTTTTAGGTTTACCTAACCAGTCCTGCATTCAAATGGAATCCTAGAAATCGCATTTGTCAGTGCGCGCCATGCCACCAAAACTTTATGACGAACGCGCACACCCCAAGGTCATGACTGTACTACCTGCCCCACCTCCAAGAATATCGAAAGATAGTCATTTCTTATTGCCTGATGATAAGACCTATAAACTGGTTTGTATCCATGTAACCTATGTCGTATAAAATATATTATCATTAGGACTTTCTCCCCGCCTATCTGGCGACCCAAGGTTTGTCTGGTTTCGCCTGTATGAGGCAGGAGCCTGCAACGTCTGGTCGGCTCGACAACAGCAGTATATTCTCCGACTGTTTCGCTGCCATTGATGATACCCCAAGAGGCGGAGGCTTGTCTTGGGGTGCTCCACTTACTCGGAAGAGCCGGTATAAGCTAGCCGCGATGGTCCCTATTCCTACATTCCTGCAGTAGTCGTCCCATTTCCCCTGGTCAGACTGTTCTCTTTTTTCTAGGAGTGAATCTGCTGGTATGGAGACGTTGAACGAAATGATGGAATTCGTTCTCTTGTCCCCTGGGTGGGGGTATTGGGCCTGGTAGCCAGAGCTTCCGGTCTACCCTTTGCACCATTTACTTCCATTCATGCTTCCTCGGCGCTGCCCACTTCTTCAGGTTGCCCAGTTCCGTTAGATCGTACGAGTTGCATCAATAAAAAAGGGGACTTTGTCAGTACCTCACTCAGAGTGAAAGCTAGTTACTTCTTGTCTCTAGGGGCCACACCTTTACACACTTGTAGAACTTAACCAGCTTCTAAGAGTAGATTATGGGAGCTCATGTTTTGTAATATACCTGGCTGTACCAGGCATTCCAGTCTGCTAGTGGTGACACCGTGTAATTTCCGACATTCTGGACATATGCAACACATTCACTTAGGTAGATGGTTCCTCTAAGAGCTTCAGCACTGGCCTGGTATACCATTACCACAGTTTCAGCGTGCCCATTTCCGACAGATGTCACACTGGAACCTCTCTGGAAGAGGCGGCTTAGGATGAATCTTACATTTTACCATAAATTACTTCGTAAGCAAGTGCTTTCATGTGGCCCGG